TTACAGACGCTTCCTTGTGTTGTGTCTATTTGGGGGTCAGACATTATCATCATGATATGATTGTTCCTATTTGGGTCATACTGTCATTATCATCCTGATATTATTGGCGCCCATCGGGGGAACCTACTGATACCATGGTATGATATCCTTGTACTTCTGCTTTTTGCGGCCGTTTTTCTCCGCCGGGGACCTTCAGAAACTACATTGGATATGAAGGCAAGTCGGAACACGCCCAGCGTTCTACTTGTACATAGGGAGCTGTCCAAAACCAGCCTAAACGAGGGCAAAAGCACGAAGGATCTGAGGGCCAGAGCTGGACCAGCACCACCTTGGATTCAGGCAGTGCTACAGGCTGCACGTCCACCTGTCAGCGCAGCTTTGCACTGAAGCTGCCTGCTGTGGAAGCCAGTGTGGGAAAATGTGGGGGGACAGGTTTACCAGTCCACTGCATTCAGAATGGGAGAATGTCTTTGCAATGACAATCACTTTCAAGCCGATCGCTCCAGCCTGCACATGCTGCTTCTTGGCTGCGTTGGCCACGCCATCCTGTGTGTCAGCTTTGTTATCTTTGTTGTTCTGGGCTTTGTCAGCATGCATCGGCCCCACACAAACCCAACGAGTCATTTGGTGGTGAACTCTGCATCCTTATTTAACTCCACAGCAGGCATGTGCGCATCTGGAAAACACGCGTGAGGCCTGAAGGACAATGTGAGAATCACGTAAAGATATGCAGGGTCCTACATGCCTCCCAGACAAATATCCAAAATGTCGGGGCCTTCGCCTTCCTCTTCGCCACAAGGCGCTCGACCAGCTCCTCCTCGAAATTCAATTTCACGAGTCGGTCACAAACAGGTTGCCTTTGCCATCCTTTGCCTCAGAAAGAACCTGCGCAGCCTGTAGGGGCCCAAGAAAAGCAAGTGCAAGCCAAGCCCTTCCTGCCTTGGAGGCACGACCAGTTGCGAGACCCCGCGCCCGGCAGAGACCCTGCCTGGTGGTATGTCAAACACTTCGGAGGGGATAGCAGAGGACTTTGACCTACTTGTCCCAACCACTGCTCGGCTTGGACAGCAGCCCGTGTAACCCGTTCAATGAAGACACGTGGCTTTTCATCTGGTGTTTAGTTAAGACATTGGCTTCATCTGGCATGACCCGTTGAAATGGATCCACGACAAAAGATGGCTCACTCAGATACTTATCATGACGAGGAAATGGAACCCCTGCCCCGGACTATGTGTGGTGCCCAAGCTGCAGTAAAGGCAGCGAGAGGGCCGCCAGCTTGGAGCGCTCGCCATCCATGGCATCTCACAGGAGTTAAGCCACAGCGGCTCACGCTGAGGGTAAGTGCTGAGTGGGCCGGCAGCATGTTGCACTGCCGTGGGTCTTTCTAGCAGGCTTTCATCAGTGGGTGTTTCAACCGTAAAAAGCGCAGCTGAATCTGTTTATCAAAAAACATCAACCATGAAACCATCCCCACAGCTCCCTGTCGGCACTCAGCCTATGCTGGTGGCATGTCTTGGATCAGGCACGGGCTGCAGGAACATGTCGCAAAGCTTTCGTCAAGCAGAAACCTTCTTCTTTCGAATTACCGGTATGGCGACAGTCTAGCAAATAATGCTTGATCTTGCTGCCATGCGATACTCAGGACCTCAAAACCTGTTGCAGGTGTTTGCTCAGGCTTCTGCGGGTCGTTCCCTCTTGTGCACAGAGGGATGTGCGGCACCTGAGAACAGATGCGAAACCGGCATGAGCCGAGATTGAAGGCCATCAAAGACACTACAGTAGACAAGGATTTTGGATTCCGCGCTTACGTCAGTCCCTGCAGTGACCTTGCAGCCCTGACATGTGCAGGTCTGGCATTCGTCTCACATCGCAGGCGCTTTGTTCTGGTTGCGTGCCACCGCATAAGTCCCGCACCGGGTCTGCTGCATTGACCACGCGGAAGATTCGAGAAAGCTTCGCTTCCTGAAGACCACGCACACAGGAACCACAGTGCGAGGCATTGAAGGTCGCTGGTTGACTGACATAGGTTGTAGGCATTGAATGTCTCAGCTCACGGCCACCATTCGAGCAAATGGCCCATTCACGGACTGGGCACGACAGCAATGAAACAAGAGACGTCTCGTGCACTACAGATGTATGCTCAGCGAATACTTTTCAGACCATGGACTGCTAGCATCTAGAACTGCACCCTCTAGCCTTGGTCCCCGTGCCCGAGGCTGACCGAAGGTGTACAGGGTTGGCTCCTCGCGGGTCCTCCGAAGAGACCAAATTGCTTGCACAATCGGCAGCCAAAACCACTCAAGCTTTCAAAGCGCTCCAGGACGAGATGTTGTAGGCTGCCAACAGCGCCATTGAGGCACCAAGACTATGACCAGTGATCCACAACCTCGCTGCATGAAGGCAGACTCCGGAACAAAGCTCCAAAATCTGCGGAAGGTGGCAGTCTACTCACGAGCCTCTTGAAGCCCTTTAGGCTCCTGGCTGGCAAGTTGAGCACTTGGTCTCAAGGCGCTGGAGGACCTGGTTGGATGCATAGGATCAAACCTGTTCTCTGACCAGTGGAAATTGCATTGCTCAGTGAACTAGTCAACTAACTTAGAAGGCTTACGCCCAAATATGCTGCGTACATTAGAGGCAAGTCCAAGTTGATCAGTAGCTTAGTCTTGCCGTATACGCGTCTTGCAACGTTCCGGCCATGAAAGTTGCTTTGCGAATCGTTCTAGAATCGTTCTAGAATCTGGTATTAATCAGAGCCGGGCACCCCATCCGCACAGTCAGCCACCTATCTAATCTTCGCAAGCTCGCAAGCTTCTTGGCCGGGATGTACGGGGCTTCACGGGTGCCACGACATGAAATTGTGCAGCGGCTGCTGGGGCTACATTGCTTGATGCTACTTCGGATTCCCGGCAACGCTTCGCTGGTTTAAGGCAGGCCAATGCCTGTTAATGTCTCAGACTTGTCTCTCCTGCCATCCTGGCCCAAGCAGCCGACTTTTTAACAGTCTTTGTCAGAGCCGGTGGAGCCAGTAGCTGCTTTGAGGAACCAGGGCAGCTGCTGGCGTGAGTTGCGGAAGAAGATCGTTGGCCTCAGTCAGCATGTAGCCGCTTCACCCCTGCATGCACCCAAAACAAGTCACACGGAGACTTGCCGCCACACTGTGGGCACTAACTCAACAAAAGTCTTCAGGAAGGACTGCCACCTTGCAAACAGCTGGTTCCTGAGCCTGCAGCTGCCCCGAGAAAGAATTCATTCACACGGACCTGGGTTCATAAGTGGAGTCTAAGTGGCATCAATTGATCAAGGAAAAGGCGTTTTTCAAATCCATTTCGCGTGGGCGACTCAGATCTTGCAACTTGGAAACCCTTCGCCTGGGTGTTGTTCGGCATAAAGGGCACCAGCCGGTGCCAAATGAGCTCAACCATGACCTAGGCCAGCAGGCAATGACAACTGTTTCAGGGGTTAGAAAGGGATGATGGAAAATAAAATCAAAACTATAGGGATTATAGGGATCATGTAGGATTTATATAGGGATTATAGGGAATATGTATGTCCTGATCCTGCCACTGCAAGGACTCGAAGCTGCCTGCGTCACTGTGTCAGATCCGCGGAAGGCTAGCACCTGAGGCGTGGATCATGGGAAGTGCAAGAGATGTGCATCATATGAACCACAGGGGCTATGTCGGGATAATGGAAAAGGAACAGGAAACTACTATAGTATACTTGGGCATAGGGGTTATATGAGCTGCAGTAAATGTGCGCACGATTTCAGGGGTTCCAGGAAAATTCGGGGATCTGCACAGGCTGCGCTGGGGCCAAGCACAAAAATAATTTGAAGGGGGGCTGGGGGGGGCCCTCGGGTGGGGTCCCGCGTAGGGCC